CTGTCTGGGGATTTTGTCTTTCTTTAAAAATGGAAATAATTTGAGTACATGGTGCAGAGCAAAAGTTTGATGAGAAGTGCTTAGTTAAGGAGTAATAGGATCAGCAGTCAGCATGATGTATCCGAAACCTGATTATTTGATTAAGTCAAGAAAGTCTGTTAAAGAAGAACGTAAGTTGATCGTACTGTACTGACAACGAACCATATTTCAGGTTTAAGGCGACATGGGTATATAGCCAAGGCGGTGCTCAGAGTAGTGGCCATTACGCATGCTACATTGCTATGATCGTAGGTTCGAATCCTATAATCTCACTAATTTTGTTGCTGATTTACGCTGCTGTTCTTACTAAAGGTCCCAAGAATGTCCCAGCATCAGCTGAAACCTCCGCAATAAATGAACATTAGGACACGTCCTGAGTCCCCCTCTAGGAGGGGTTCAAACGTTCAAGCCTTCTCCCTCCTCCGTGTGATAACAGTGGGGTTATTTCAAGATGGAGTTTCCCACGCCAGACGTCAACATGGTTGACGCTGATTTTTCCACCAGAGTGTATACAACAGGGTTATCAGTGGTGACTAACAGTGAGAAATCCTTGAATGTGACAGACCCAGGAATCGCCCCAAACAAGGATGACCTCAGCGTAGATAACCCAAGCTTAATGATTATGTCTCATTTAAGTACGATGCCAATACCTCACGTTAACATTTTATGAAATACCACTATTTAATATTCATCATGTCATTGTCATAATCCGGAATGCATTGAATTTATTCTGTTTTTCACGTGTAGCGGTTAATTGACATGTCGCAGAAACATGTCATAAAACATGTTTGTTTCTTATTGAAAACGCTACCATTTTGTAAATCATTGGAAGAAATGGCTACAGCAAGTTTTCATCTGGTAACATTTGAACAGTATACCTGATTATCCGACAAGTTTCCTTTCATTTGAAAGAGTGTATCTATATATAGAGGCCAACAACGACAACCAATGTATGTCCTGTAAGTGTATGTGATCAATATGTATCAGCAATCGTTGTCGGTCATTCTGTGGGTTCGATTAATCTACCGCCACTGTATCGGATAGGCATTCATCATCACACATACATCAGCTGTTTGTAGACGGTAGGCAAATGGTGAAACACAGGCGACTGACACCATCCACCAATAGGACTATGTCAGTTGAAATACTGTTCAAAGAAATATCATGGTCTGTTTGTATTTGAATAGTTAAAACGCACAGTCAATTGTACTTATAAGTCCTCTTTGTATATATACCGAACATACAAAATAGAAATCAGTAAAAACTTTTACATATGAAACATGAAACTACTTGCTCAGTTACCCTTGAAGGTCCGGGTTAGAATATTGATTGTCGTAAGAGGCGACTAACGGGATCGAGTAGTCAGGCTCGCTGACTTGGTTGACACATGTCATCGGTTCCCAATTGCGCAGATCGATGCTCATGCTGTTGATCACTGGATCTGATCCAAACTCGATTATCTACAGACCGCCGCAATATAGCTGGAATATTGCTGAGTGCGGCGTAAAACTAAACTCTTTCACTCACTTGCTCAGTCTTCACTACCCCTGACTATTCATTATCACTTAACGTCTAGGTCTGTATTTATTACGTAGCTGCCAGCTGTTGTCACCATAACCCTTATTTCATATCATATCATGCTAAAATATAATATATACACCCCACTGGGAGTATATATACACCGCTAACGTGTGGACAAACACCGCATATAAATCATGTGGCTTGAACTATGACGTAAACGAACGGACGAATGTTACTGTGGGTTAACTTGTAACATTCCTTACGCAAACGAACTTGCAATAGTTGGTTAAACAAACATTGTTAATGTGACTCGAAAAATATCCGCCACACATTCAAACTGTAAACGTAATTCGAAAAATACTTAACACAAATGCGTCAAATATTCAATAATCTTTCAAAACGTGTTATCCCTTGTTCCAACAGGATGATCATGTATGAGTAATATGTTGTAAAGAAGGAGTGACATCAAATTCAAAACTGGGTCATCCTGGAAGATGAGCCTGCAGAGACTGTTAGCTAAATACGTCTTTAAATAGAGGTTCGGCAAGGTTACGTTTTCCCACCTACTCCTTTTACACAGCGAAGTGGAGCGTGTATTATTGTGCTGTGTATATATTTAATCCGTGTGTCATGCAGATTGGAATGTTAAGAGAGGAGGGCAGTGAGAAATGACATGTATTTAATACCCAACTGAGAGCTGGGGTTGTTGTGCTTAATTGCCTTAATTGGCCATGTGGTATATTGTTCCTTTGTCTCCGCTTATCTAGATAGTGCTATAGTTACAGCGTGGGTGAATGAGGTCATAAACGTTTTGTTTATTGTTGTGTGAAAATGTCAGCGGAACCTCACAGCATACTTCACGATACTGATTGACACCGCCCACAGTATTAATAAAATAAGCTCCAAGCTTATAACTGTAAACATGTTGTATGTACGTCAGCTGTTTCATTCCCTCACATATTTACATGAGCCTGAACGGATTTCAAACAGTTGTAAAATTCTTATCATTACAGGACACTCGTGCACATTGCACTACAGTTCCTACACATGTATGTACATCCTTATCACATGAAGTGGTGGGTGAACTGCTTGTTGTAAAGGTCTTCGCCAATAACACCGAAGGTCCAGGTTCGATTTGGTAGAAAGAAACCTATTTCTGGTTTCTCCCGCCTTAATATTGCAGAGGTATTGCTAAAAGCGGCGTAAATGAATATTCACTCAGCACCACACACAACATGGATACACACACAATTCATTTTAAGATATACAGAAAGCCGTTATGGCTAAACTCAATGACATTGACTTATTCAATACCCAGGAAGTATTGTATTTATAAATCAGTTAATTATAGGAGCTGTGAGGGTATCTATTACCGCTGGGGAGCTGGGAGGCAAGTTCAGTTGTTCCAAGTGATTTCATGGCTGTATAGGTTAACAAAAGCGCATGTTGACCGCTTTCAAGTGACTTCGACATTGAACAGCTATAAGTTCAAAATATGTTAAATGAAGTTGTAAATTAGCCGTCCGACACCTAGACATGATGGCTCCTGCTCTACTGAACACCGACTCCTTTAGATTCACTTTTCCTTACAACTTTCTAAAGGCCATAATTTCTACACGGATCTTGCTATAGGTCGACTGCAATTCTTGAAGAAAATTATCCTTTCAATTCTAGGAATGACTCATCCCAGCTTATCTAAATTTATCTCGGGTAAATAACGCCATATGCTATTCCAGCTGCATTAACGATATACCCGAATATATCACTGGTTGACATTTATACGATTCAAACCCGATTCTTTTATCGCCAAGCGCAGTATTGTGTCAATTGAATCGCGCTGTCGCCGGTTGGAATGGGTGTGATAATGCACTAGTGAGCAAACAGCAGGCCATGACTGTAATGCCGTATGTACAGCACTGGTATATGTACAGGCAGTGCCCTTTACCCATCGGTTTTAACGTTGACTGGCATACATCACCGTGGCGAATATATTGCTTGATCAGTAACCCATACAAACTGTCCGTCACTTCAATTAGTCTCAAGCGCTGTCTGACACCGGATATATGCATATTCTTTGCTTGCATGCACAGGTAAATTACCCAATGTCGAGCAATAATCGCCCTTGTAACAGCCACAAAGGTAGGATCCGATATCAGCGCTGTCGAACTGGTCAAAGATCGCTGTAAGAGTATCGTGAGTCACTGCTGTTTACAATGTAGACGTTGAGAGACGAATCAGTGTTTTTCAGAGAGCTATTAAGTCGGTTGAATTGGGGCTAGTGGTGACAGACTCACCCTCAACAAATACATTAACCCATGAAACTTTATCAAACTGAAATTGTTCAAGTTTTATTCTTTGGAAATGGTGATGATTAATTAAGCATAAAGTTGAAAGGTGGAAAGGTTTCAGTTCAGAAAGAGATCAAAAGGTCACTTTTTGTCCTCGTTAAACTGCAAAGTAGGGAGTAATTGACATTGAAAGGGTTAGGATCAAACGGGCATGTGGATGGCCCAGCTGTTAAAACTAAGGGGTGATAGATACAAAATAGGGCAAATAAAGTCCTGTTGCGTCTAGGACGTGAACCGAATCCGGAACATCTCAGCGTTTGATGACCATTGCATAGAAAGGTGCTAGTGCATGTCCGATTCATTCTGGAATCGGTTTGATTCAAAGTTTGACCCAATGGCCAGAGGTTAACTCTTGACATTTGGGAAAGTCTTCAGCCGTCCATTTGTTTCTCCAGAACATATTTGTACAAAGAAATAGTCTGCGTGGATTGGAGGGCTGGCGAGAATCCTACCATCAAAGAAACCCTTGAGGGATCACTGCTGGAGGGGGATTCTGTTTAAATAGTTTTGCAGAATATATTCACACCATGATAAACATTTCACCATAACAAATATGAGACTGATGGGCATTCAGGGAAAATGGATGTTTAACATAATAATTCAACACCATAACACAAGAAGATGTGCATGAGTATCTCACTACTTGCTAACTGTTCAATATATTTAGCAATCACATCGATAAATAAACATGAAATAATTTTACAAAAACAACGTCACTTAGTTAATATGTTCATTATAAAATGAACATATTCATCACTATATTAGTTATATTAGGCTGTTTATCATACCAACGTTACTAAATGGCCAATTACATCATTCAGAAACGCACCTTCAGTTTAAATAACAGTACACACTATTACCACGTCACCATACTATCGGAAAGTTGGCTCATAAACAAACAAAACAATGAAAGTGACTATAATGCAAGTCGATATCAAATAATAACGCCACCATGTCGTTAGACTTTAAATAGCGTGTAACATCTGAAATACATACAATATTCCCCATATGTTACCACATGTGTCTCAGCCATTCCTAGGATATGAATCACTTTAAAGAAATTCAGAAACCGATATATTTTCAAAAACTTACCATCTCGCTTCGTAGTTTCTCCATGGCGATGTCAATTGATGACTTTTTCTTTTCATTTCCATTGCTGTCTGAGATATTTACTGTCTTTCTGTCACTTCCCCATTTTTCTTTCAAAGTCTGAGCACTTTTCAGCCTGGACTGGTAGAATTCTCTACAAGCGTTTGACAACTCAATTGAGTCGGTATACTTGTCAGCGCCCTCGGGGGGAACCATTCTGTTGTGATCAGCTCTTTCCATAAGTCTCGACACACACACAACGATGAAACTCCAAAATACTGTTTTTGCAAGTTCACATGAAGTCCAGTGCACGGACCCAACACCACATCCGGACTTCACTGAGAGCAGACGACAATCACAATGCGTGCGCGCGCTCAACAGCTGTCACTTCTAAAAGCAGACGACGAACTAATTGCTTCTCAATGCAAATATAGGTCACGGGTTCGGTCCGAGCATCCGCAATAATCTCCTGTCAACAGACCGTAACACATTTTTTCTTGTGAAGTTTTTTCCAAAAGGACGTCTCACCGCTGACTGTTGGTTGCGGTCACCGATAGGCAGTGACGTACAGGTCAAATTAGCAGCCGATATGTACCAAGTTCACAACCTCAGCGGCATATGAACTGTTGCAAGCATGTATACTCCGCCGACAGCTCCATGTGAGACTCAATACGGATGATGAGTCATTTAACCGGCAGACGACGGGCAAGCTACCTGCCATAACAATAAAACTTCAGTAATTCCCACTTCAAATAACCTATCACGCTCCGGCTTTTCTGATTGGCTGAATGCAGGGCACCCTCGCGGACCCCCCGCGACCACCCCTGAACATGTGGTGATATTTACCTTGATACGGGTGAATACGAGTTATATCATATTTATTGTCCGATATGGAGGAGTTAGGTAACTTTAAGATGCAGGTCAGATGAACTCTATAAATGAGATAACCTAGTTGACCAGATTTATAGGAAATAGACCAGACCAGATGTTGAAACCAAAACTGTCAAATTAAACCGACACATTTCTCGGTAAAGATTTAATAACACTGTGAAAATATTGAGAAATAAATATTTCTTACAGAGAAAGGAAACATTTCTAAACTTAAATTACATTTAGTAAAACATCAAATTTGTATAGAAGACATCTGTCATGCTTTAATTATAAATGTTCTTATCGAAATTCTGTAGGTTTTCAAAACAACCCAGATCACCACAAAGTTACTAAAAACGTTGTTTTTTCAGTTGTGTTTCTTCTCCTGTAGAGCAGAATTGCACACAAATAAGCACTGTGCCTTGCTCAGATTTAGATATAATTTGGGGCGGTGGGGTAGCCTAATGGTTAAAGCGTTGGCTCGTCACGCCGTTTTCGAATGGGTACAACGCCCATTTCTGGAGTTGCATTGCTGGAATATTGCTAAAAGCTAACAAACCAAACTCAGTCAGTCAGTCAGTTAGATCTAATTTAAGTCATGGTGTGTATTATGATACGATTGAATAATAACAGACAAGGCTATACAGGAAAAGTTGGTGCATATTTAATATGGAGGTAAGATAAACCGCTCTACTCTGTGCAGATTAAGCCAGTGTGACCTATACCATTGCTAAAATTATTTCTAACATGCATGGGGTACTTCCTCCTCGTGATACAACACATTCAGGGAGCAACTCACAATACCAAGACCAGGAAGCACATGTGTTTTGTAGCGCTTCTGTGTCAGACACGCATCGCATTTACTACCAGCAAGCCTGTCAAATGCCCGAGTACTCAATGAAATTAGTCTGGTGCTATAGCTAAACTGATTGTTGCTAGACTGTGGGGCCGCCCAGACGCAGTTATACACCTGTAGACAGAACGTGTATAGTTTACCTATCTGGGCCACGCTAACTAAACTGGTTTCCTTGGTGATGAGCATTGTAAACAATCTATTTTTCGAGTATATAACGTATACGACAGTCTATGATTTTAGACTTTTAATTCATTTAATTTAATTATGAAATGCCTTAACACCTGTAGCCTTATACGCAATATTCGACTAACAGGATCTGGTTGTCAGGCTCGATGATTGGCTGATCGATCAATGTTCATGATGTCAATCACTGGACTGTCTGCACACTCGATTATTTACATACGGCTGGAATATTGATTGCGGTGTTAAACAACCAAAAAACACACAAAATCTATATCCGTATAAGTGGTGAGGACATCGAGTACCGACGACCGTGTTACGTAAAAATACGTAAGTATCGTAGACCCACTGGGATATTTTCAATAAACCACTCTTTCCTGTGAACTTATTTATCGACTGTTGAAACAACACAAGGCTATTTCCTGTTACAAAACACACAGAAGCCATGGTAATCTATTTCTCATTAGACTTATGCAACAAACTTCTGAATTAAGACTGTGTCTTTCAAAGAAGTATCGGAGTTAAACATATGCTTCAATTAGATATTCCAATTATGCGATGAGGGGGTCCGAATCTTTGAGCCGCTGACATCATTGAAATTGTTGCCACTGCTGTCATCAATCGACAGCTGCTGGAAAGACTTTGCGCCACCCTTGAAACGACAACAGTTACGTTTTGAAGGTGTGACAAATTATTTTGAGTAGCAAAACAACAATGTTTTGCAGAAAATAAATGTTTTTTGTCACTCAAAACAACTTCAGATGAAGTAAAGAGGAAGTAGGAAGCCTTTGTGTTGCCTAGCAACGCAGGTGTTTAAGTGTCATCATATTTTTGCTATTCTGTTTCTGTCACCTTGATGTTATTTTCACTTAATACTACACAACTCATACGATTAGTGATTGATCCATGCTTCGAGAGAGATTTTCATGAAATATTATTTTTCCAAGCTTTAATATGATTCAATAACAGCATTTTCTCAACGGAATGTAGGAGGAATTCAGTAAATACTTTCAACGAAAATACACACAAACACAGTGGGTTTATGGGGACGACGAGACGCAACGGGTGTAATAGGACGAAAAAGAGGAACTGGGAACAACGGGTTAATGGGGACGATGAGACACTGTGTAATAGGAAAACTGGGAACAACGGGTTTATGAGGACGATGAGACACTGTGTAATAGGAAAACTGGGAACAATGGGTTTATGGGGACGACAAGACGCTGTGTAATAGGAAAACTGGGAACAAGGGGTTTATGAGGACGACGGGACGACAGTGGGTAATAGGAAAACAGGGAACAAGGGGTTTATGGGGACGACGAGAGACACTGTGTAATAGGAAAACAGGGAACAAATGGGGACGACGAGACGCTGTGTAATAGGAAAACAGGGACGATGGGGACGACGAGACGCTGTGTAATAGGAAAAAGGGAACTGTGTAATGAACAACGGGTTTATGTAATAGGAAAACGGGGAACAAGGGTTTATGGGGACGACGAGACGCTGTGTAATAGGAAAACAGGGAACAAGGGGTTTATGGGGACGACGAGACGGGAAAAACATGGGGTGGGTTTATGAACAACGGGTTTACGACGACGACGTAACAGGAAAACAGGGAACAAGGGGTTTATGGGGACGACGAGACGCTGTGGAAAACTGGGGACAACGGGTTTATGAGAGACGCTGTGTAATAGGAAAACTGGGAGACACGAGTGTGTGTAATGAAAACTGGGAACAATGGGTTTAGGAGGACGACGAGACGCTGTGTAATAGGAAAACTGGGAATAGGAAAAAGGGTTTTTAGGGACGACGAGACGCTGTGTAATAGGAAAACTGGGTAATTACAAGGGGTTTATGGGGACGACGAGACGCTGTGTAATAGGAAAACAGGGAACAAGGGGTTTATGGGGACGACGAGACGCTGTGTAATAGGAAAACAGGGAACAAGGGGTTTATGGGGACGACGAGACGCTGTGTAATAGGAAAACAGGGAACAAAGGGGTTTATGGGGACGACGAGACACTGTGTAATAGGAAAACAGTAATGAACAACGGGTTTATGGGGACGACGAGACGCTGTGTAATAGGAAAACAGGGAACAAGGGGTTTATGAGGGACGACGAGACGCTGTGTAATAGGAAAACTGGGAACAACGGGTTTATGGGGACGACGAGACGCTGTGTAATAGGAAAACAGGGAACAAGGGGTTTATGGGGACGACGAGACGCTGTGTAATAGGAAAACAGGGAACAAGGGGTTTATGAGGGACGACGAGACGCTGTGTAATAGGAAAACGTGGAACAAGGGGTTTATGAGGACGACGAGACGCTGTGTAATAGGAAAACAGGGAACAACGGGTTTATGAGGACGACGAGACGCTGTGTAATAGGAAAACAGGGAACAACGGGTTTATGAGGACGACGAGACGCTGTGTAATAGGAAAACAGGGAACAAACGGGTTTATGAGGACGACGAGACACGGTGTAATAGAACGGTAATAGGAAAACAGGGTTTATGAGAGGACGACGAGACACGGTGTAATAGGAAAACAGGGAATAACGGGTTTATGAGGACGACGAGACACGGTGTAATAGGAAAACAGAGAATAACGGGTTTATGAGGACGACGAGACACGGTGTAATAGGAAAACAGGGAATAACGGGTTTATGGGGACGACGAGACACTGTGTAATAGGAAAACTGGAAACAATGGGTTTGCTCAGGTTAAGGTGCTGTGTAATAAGATATATGGTCTTGGACTGCAACGAAATAGCAACGACTGGAGACAACAGAGTTTGAGTAACATGCAAATGTGTCGAGGGAACGAAATGTGTTCAATAACACCGAGTGACAGATGAGGGTCAGAAATGGGATATCACGAGGTGGGGTATATGTTTTTTAACACCCAGTGATAGATTAATGTGAGAAATTCAGTAGACCCCTATGTCGAAGTTGAAAGTCTCAAATTCACCCAAAGAAAAGGAGATTCCGAAAATATCAACATCATTGATCCACTAACAAACGGATGGATCAATGCAAACGATAGTTCAAATATATATAACGGCTGAGCTTTGGCGGATGCAGGCATTATAGAAGGTAAACGTTGAAGTTCCAGAAGCTGTAAGAACATTGTCTATTCTTCAAGATACAATAAGGCTTTCAAGCTACAGCTACCTCCGACAGAGCAACGTTCTGTTAATCCGAAACCTACCATAATCCCTATGACAGATACAGTGGCTAATTCAGTAATGTCAGCTTAATAGTACAGACGGGTTAATACAAACTGATTTCATACATTTTAATTAAAAAGTTAATTGTAGTTGTAATTTTCAAGCTTGAAATCAAGTCACGTGTTTTAGTCTCGATTAACGTTTGTTGATAATTGATTCGGCTGCCCAGAAAAGGTCCACGTAACGAGTCTACGTATATATTTGTCGACCCAACACAACCCTCTGCCTGGGTATAGAATATATCTAGTTCAGTATGGGTGTAACATCTACATTTGATACCTACTGCATGATTCATCCTGCAGCTATTTCCTCATGTATCAATACAGTTCTGTAACTGCTTTGATCGGGAAATCAAACATTCAGATGTTATCTAACGAAGGAAACTATTTCAATGACAAAATGACTCACAGTGAACCGACTAAAGTCACATGACCCATGGCAGTTTTTATACACCAACAAGAACAATACTCCGAGTTATGTCGTTAAAGCACACAGAAAACAACTTGCCCCAAAGGTTTTACATCAAATTCCCCATTTCCAGACAAATCCAAGATAAATGCCAAATATTT